GGTGCTCGGAGGGAGGGCGGGGGCTTCGGGCGGCGTGGTACTCGGAGGGGGGCGGGGCTTCGGGCGGCGTGGTGCTTGGATGGGGGGCGGGGGCTTCGGGCGGCCTGGCACTTTGGGGGGCGGGGCTTCGGGCGGTGTGGTGCTTGGGGGCGGGGTCTTGGGGGGGCGGGGGCTGGCGCGGTGCGGCGCTCGGAGGGAGGGCGGGGGCTTCGGGTGGCGTGGTGCTGGGGGGGCGGGGATTTCGGCGGCACTCGCGGGGGGGCACTACGGCGAGGCGGCGCTCTTCTTTTTTGCCTGGGGCGGCAAAAAAGTTAGAGCCGGCCCTGCTCGCCATGAAGGTTATTTGCTGCCACAGACCTACTGCCTGACCAGTGGCACATCAGCAGTAGCAGCCAGCCTGGGGAAGGCGCCAGGTGGCCACCGGGGAGATGTCCAAGCCCTAGGGCTTGGGGGTTGTTCTTCAGAATAGATTCCTCAAGAATGAATTCCGCACCTGTGCAATGTGGCATTAATCCAGGTGCCCTCCCAGTAGCCCACCCCTTACTGAGCTGGGCGCCCCCCCCCATAGGCCACCTCCTTACTGAGCTGGGCGCCCCCCACCTCCGCTCCTTATTGCTGTAGGTGAGCACTTCCCATGCTCTGCCCTCCAACACACATTGATCCGTGCCCCAGCCCTTGTTCGACTGCTGCTCCCCACCCCATGCCCTATTCCTTGACCCCCACTGCCCCAGATGCCTGAACCCCCACAATGCCCTGCTTTTTGTGTTTCAAATCTCAGCATTCCCACATCTGTATCACAGTGCAGTCTGGTCAGCCCCTGAGATTTAGCTGGGCCAAATGCACCATAGCTTGGCCCAAAGGAACATGACACCAGTAGAAGCAGCACACACCTGTCTGGGACTCATGACGCTTCAGCTCTTCCTGGTGCTCCCAGCCGAGGGCACATTTGTCCTGACGGTCTTTCTGCACCCCAAACTTCCCACCAAAGCCCACGGCATAGTCTGCAGTCACGGGGGAAGACAGAGCACGGGGGGAGGGGGGGACAGGACAGCAACATAGAGAGACAATCAGAGACGGTCCATTAATTCAGGCTCACATAATTCTAATGAAGGCAGCTCCAGTCCCTGGGTCAGCGGCTGGTGGGGGGTTGAGGTAGGGCTAATGGGATGCTGGCAGGGGTGGGGATGGAGAAGCTCACAGGGGCTGATGGGAGGGTGGAGCAGGGCTCAGGGGGGCCAATCTAACTGATTTTTTCCTCATTGCCTTGTTAAAGTGGGAAAAATAAAAGCCGTCTCCAGCTCACCACGCCCCTCACCTGGGATATGTGTGGGGAGCAGGCTGGTGTATTGAAGGCTGGACTGTCCCTTCAGACACTGTTCTCTCATCGACAGCCCAGCTAGGGTGACCAGGTGTCCTGATTTTATAGGAACAGTCCCGATACTTGGGGCTTTGTCTTACATAGGTGCCTATTACCCCCAACCCCATCCCGATTTTTCACACTTGCTATCTGGTCACCCTAAGCCTAGCCCTGCTCCAGAGAGACACCCCCCGCCCCCCGGCCTTTTGTGGGATGAGAGAGACATTCATGCTGCACACACATGCTGTTCCCTCATTGACCTGCCTCCCTGTCGGGTCCCTGGGGCAAGAGGGAATTTGGTTTCCATCTTCATTCAGTCCTGAGCTCCCCACACAGGGGCCCTAGTCCTGACTCCCAGAGTCGTGGGACACAGACACAGCCTGCTACCCACCACCGCTCCACCCCTTCCTCGCTGACAGGCAACCCGCTCCCTTCACCTCACTCAGTGCCGCCTCCCATCCCTCCGCTCCCCAGTGAGGCCAGCCTCACCTGCCAGCTTACCTGCTCCCCCCATTAGCTGCCGGCTGCACTGCCCGGGCCTGGAACACCCTAGCCTGGCCCGTGAGGCAGCCAAACCCCTCCACAGGGCCCATTCTGCCACGGTGCCTGCTGGAAGTGGCAGGTCCTGGCTTGGCTCGGCGTTGGGCTCCCCAGAAATGTGCTGGGCTTCTCAGAGCTACACTGCTGTGGGCAGTGCCCCTCAAGGACGCCTGCCCCTTCCCGCCCATGTTTCATCTTAGTGTGGGAAAGGCCAAACACATGCTGGGCACCCGAAAACAATGGCCGCCGCAGGCCTGACCTTTCTGTGACTCGTGCTTCTCTGTCTGACTCTTGTAGTCGAACCCCACGGCTGCTTTGTCCAGCTTGTCCTTCTCCACCCCATAGCGGCCACCGAACCCCTTGGCGTAATCTGGGGAATAGCACACAAGCAGAGATTAGTGGTCCCTCCAATCCACTGGAGAGGGTAGGTGGACATGGGGAGAGGCAGGAGAAATGCAAGAAGAGAGAGAGGGCAGTGGTGGGGGTGGAGGGATGAGGCTAGGAGGAAGCGGAAGAGGAGGGAGGATGGGGTCCAAGAGTGGCAGAAGGTGCGGGGAGGGGAGGGATAGAGGAGGAAAGGGGTTGTGGTGGGGGAAGGAGTGAGGGGGTGGCAGAGGACAGGGGAGCACTGTGGCAGAGGATGGGGTGGGAGGGGAGGTGGTGAGGGAGAATGGGGAAGGGAGAGGTGGGGGGTGGAGGAGATAAGGGGTTGTGGTGGGGGAAGGAGTGAGGGGGTGGCAGAGGACAGGGGAGCACAGTGGCAGAGAGTGGGGTGGGAGGGGAGGTGGTGAGGGAGAATGGGGAAGGGAGAGGCAGAGGGGTGGGGCGGAGGAGGGAAGGGGTTGTGGGGGAAGGAGTGAGGGGGTGGCAGAGGACAGGGGAAAACTGTGGCAGAGAGTGGAGGGGAGGTGGTAGGGGAGAATGGGGAAGGGAGAGGCAGAGGGGAGGGGAGGGAAGGAGTAGAAGAGAGGATGGGGTGAGTCGGGAGGTGACAAGGAGGGTAATAACAGATGGGGTGATAGGAGTGTCATAGGAGGTGAACACTACCACTGAACTTGCCTTTCTGGGATGCGTGCTTCTCCACCTCGCCCTTGTACTCGAACCCAAGCGCTGACTGGAGGAGGAAGGAGAAGAGCATCAGCTGCTTCCTTGGGATGGGGTTCCCAGTCAGAACCAGGGCCTGGCCCCTTCACCCTCTGCTTTCCCAGCTGGACAGCTGCGTCTGTGCCCAGAGAGCCTTCCACCTCGGGGTCACAGGCTTCAAGGCCAGCCCAGGCCCCCCTTTCCCACCTCAACAAACTTAGGCTTCTTGTCCTGCCCTCTCCATCAAGCCTTGCCCACTCTGTGCCCCCCCATCCATTCTTGTCCCTCGTTGTGCCACCAGCCCCTGACCTGACCTCTCGTTTGTCTGCGTCACTCACAGCTGTCTCCGCCTGTCTGTCCAGGGCTGCCCCAGGATGGCACCCTCGCCCTGAGGCACTCCACACGAAGACCCCTTTGTCCCCACACCCCACACCCACTGCCACACCGCTCTGTAAGGCAATTAGGTCTCCACATGCACTGCCCTGCCCAGCAGCCATGACACCAGTAGAAGCCTGCTGGTGGGCTAGAGGTGATCCCGGCAATTACAGACCGGTAAGTCTAACGTCTGTACCAGGCAAATTAGTCGAAACAATAGTTAAGAATAAAAACATAAACTGTTGAGCAATAGTCAACATGGTTTCTGTAAAGGGAAATCGTGTCTTACTAATCTATTAGAATTCTTTGAAGGGGTCAACAAACATGTGGACAAGGGGGATCCAGTGGACATAGTGTACTTAGATTTCCAGAAAGCCTTTGACAAGGTCCCTCACCAAAGGCTCTTATGTAAATTAAGCTGTCATGGGATAAAAGGAAAGGTCCTTTCATGGATTGAGAACTGGTTAAAAGACAGGGAACAAAGGGTAGGAATTAATGGTAAATTCTCAGAATGGAGAGGGGTAACTAATGGTGTTCCCCAAGGGTCAGTCCTCGGACCAATCCTATTCAACTTATTTATAAATGATCTGGAGAAAGGGGTAAACAGTGAAGTGGCAAAGTTTGCAGATGATACTAAACTGCTCAAGATAGTTAAGACCAAAGCAGACTGTGACGAACTTCAAAAAGATCTCACAAAACTAAGTGATTGGGCAACAAAATGGCAAATGAAATTTAATGTGGATAAATGTAAAGTAATGCACATTGGAAAAAATAACCCCAACTATACATACAA